CGCGGTATCTTTTCCCAGAAGCTGGGTGCTTTGACGAATATCATTACCATGCAGTACAACCTTTTTTATTGTGGGTGACACTATATCCATTCATTTTTTTTTCCGTGCAACTAACCGCAAATGTGTCCAGTCTTACTCGCCTATCAATTTTCCCATCAGAGTTTTGGTCACTGTAGAAATCGTTCCTTTGAGCATATTATCCAGTCCCTCACTGGGCACCCTATTAGTTTGGCCAGAAACACGCACTCCTGTCCCATTAAGGACGAGAAAAATATGAAGTTCGGTTTGAGACCTACCCCTAATGCATCATTTGATGAGTTATGTAATTTCAAATACAAATTAAAATAAATCAATCAAGATCCGGAAGGAGGCTGACAGACATATGTACCAATAGTAAGTTATGCTTGACTTTTTCGAGCAAATTTACCACTGCTAATGAATTTTTTTTCCAGCAATTTTTTCCTCCCGTTTTGTGCGTCTTATCTCGCCCACTTTTTATCACCACTAAATTTTAACGGTGAGTGCAGCCGACCGAACAAACTTGAGCCCTTGGCCAGAACTTCTGATAACCTTTGTCCGTCGTTCCAGAACAAAACAGCAGGAAAAAGTAAACATTTTTGTCTTAATACTGAGAATTGGATATGCAGAAAATGAAAGCACAATAGCCAAGGGAAACATAGCTTGTTATGCTCTGGTGTAGGGTACTCGATTCGTAAAGTTATTTCCAACGACTCTTCTTTAAAGATGACTCGCAAGCAGTTTCTTGCATTTTATGCTAGATACACAAACAAATACGTAAGCAACCAGAACCATATGCACATGCGTAATTTTATTATAATGTATCTTTTGATCTATACAAAGGTTCATACATGTGTCAAACAGTCAACGAAAACCTCCTCTGCATTCGCCGTTTGTAAGAGGTGAAGTCAGAAGTATTCCTCACTACATCATGACGTATCAGTACACACGCATCTGTATCTTAATAAAAAGACAAAGTCACCCATCTGTACAAAGTCTTTTTTCTAGGTAAAAGCAGTCTGGGATACTACAGCAAAAATGCTTGGAAAATTTTCTGAAAATGTTTGAAAAACTTCAGATCTAGATTGAGACACGGTTCTGTTCCGTAGATAGACTGATGAAAAAGGGTTTTGAGATGACGAAATGCTTCTGCTCGTTCTTGTGTCTTTTCTTTTGAGATTTTTTTGTCTGATCGAAAAAAATCTCAAAAGAAAAGCGAGAAGGACGAGCAGGAGCATTTCATCGTCTTGGAATCCTTCTAAAGCTGTAAGCAATTTTCAGGACAATACAAAGCTGGTCGATTTTGACAGATGTTCAGTTTGAGCTCGGTTTTAAAGAAAAATTTGGCTTTAGGTAAAAAGAATACTCTTCAACTTGCAAACGAACAAGGCAAAATACCTCTGCAGATGCACAAAGTATGATCCCGAAAATGGTCATAATCACAACCCATGTGCATGCGTGCCGGCCTTTTAATGCATCCTTTTGTAATTCGGTAGCGACTCCTTTCTGCTGTTGGCTTCCGTTCGATAAAACAATAGTTGGACTCACAAGAACCCATCTAAAAATTTCCAGGTAAGAATTTTTGCAAAATCAGTGATTTTGCATTTCAGCAACTAAGAAGGAAAGCATGAGGCACAAATCGGCCACTGGGAGTAGAGATGATATTCATTTAATCTGATGGTAACTGTAACGATTGCTCAAAGGCCTGCTTAGTGATAAGTTGATTTTTTGTTCATGCAATAATGTTGATTTTTTTTGTGGGTTCTATCCCTTCCCTGCCTCCCCTCTACAGGTTGGCCCTTTTGTCGGAGCTAC